TGTGGGTGAGGGGGAGCCCCCTTCCCAGGGGCCCCTGCTCAGGGGAAGCACAGCTGTCTGTGGGCACAGTGCTCCTGCCTGGCTCCACCAGTTCAAAGGCAGGCCCTCCCTGATCGGCAAGGGAACCAGCTCACTGCCCTTTGATCTGGCTCCCCCGGGGGCTGATGGAGGGAGGCTCTCCACCCAAGGATGATCCCTTAATGGGCGCAATCCCACAGGCTGGACAGAGCCAGACTCTGAACCTGGGTTTCCCGACAACTCCCACCCCCTCACCGCCAGCGCAAGTCCGTAAAAGACCGATTACCTCCAACCCTAAAAAAAAACACACACACAAGGGGCTCCTGGGTGGCTCAGTCGGTTGTGCGTCCGACTTCAGCTCAGGTCATGATCTCACGGTTTGTGGGTTCGAGCCCCGCGTCGGGCTCTGTGCTGATGGCTCGGAGCCCGGAGCCTGCTTTGGATTCTGTGTCTCCCTCTCTCTCTAACCCTCCCCTGCTCACGCTCTGTCTCTCTCTACCAAGATTAAACATTAAAAAAAATTTTTTTAATTATTCCAAAATAAAAAATACATCTATTAAATAAAGTAAAAATACGTTAACCATTCAGTTCCTCAGCTACATTGGACACAGTGTATCCGTTAGCCACGTGCCTAGTGTTACTACAGTGCACAGCGTAGATACACGCATTTCCGTTATCACAGAAACTTCTCATGGATGACACTGCTCTATGGCATCATTCATTCTGCCCAGGGACTCATCCGTGAAACTCCCAGAACCTCATTTTTCACCCGGTATTTTCCTTCTGTCTCACTGTGACAATCTCTCTCTCCATAAATCACTGCCTCCACACAGGGTATGAAACCAGCCCAAGGATCGTTTTTAATATTTGCAGCAGTTACTGAATGGAGCCTTTGGTGCTTCTGTTTGGGTTTAAACTTTATTACCGACGCGGACCTCGCCCAGAAAGCCTGGCACGAAAGGTCTCCAGGAAACCTACGGAATGAACAACACCTCCCAAGTCTGGTGGTCGTAAAGGAGGCAGCGAAGGAAAAGCCCCCAGCTCAGTGCCGACCCTACGTGACACCCCACATTCAAAGAGTGGAATCCCGTTTTGGGGGGTGCACTGGGCCTTGCTCCCCCCGGTGGGTAACCCGGCTGGCTGTGCTAATGGCATCTGACGGACCTGCCCGTCCCTGCCAACCGACAGCAATTCTGATTAAGCTGAGTACTGCCTGGCTGCTTCAAGGAGGCGGTGTCTTGGGTAGTCAGTAGAGCGTCTGACTCTCGATTCCAGCTCAGGTCATGATTTCACGGTTCTGGAGTTTGAGCCCCGCGTGGGGCTCTGCGGTGACCATGCTTGAGGAATTCTCTCTCTCCCTTGCTCCCTGCCCCCTCCCCCACTCGTGCTCACTCTCTCAAAAAAATCAATCAACTTAAAGAAAAAGAGGCAATGTCTCATGAAGACAACTCTGCCGCATTTCACTGTCACCCTCACCTCCAACCACCGCACTCAGAATGAAGTTCTGACCCCTTCCTCTGGCTTGCTGGTGGGGGGAGGCAGGCTCCGCCCCTGCTGATTGCTTTTCCCCTCATCACCTACCACTCCCCCCCACCTTCATTGCCCACCCTCCAGCCATACTGGCCTGCTCTGTGTGCTCAAGCACGCCAAGGTCACTCCTGCCTCAGGACCTTTGCACCTGCCGTTCCCTGACCCAGAACACATCACCGTGACCCCACACACATACCATCTTCTCCTCACTGGGGCCGTCCCTGACTCTCCAGTCCCACGCTGCCCCGCGGCCCTCACTTTACACCCCTTCCAAGAGAACATGCAAGAACAATCCGACACATTTCACATTTGGGCTTATTTGCCCAAATTCCCCACTGGAATGCGGGTCCTTGGGAGCAGGGACCACAGAGGTGTGGCTTATCTCTGGTGCAGTCCCCAGCACCGAGAACAGCATCCGGCATATTCTTCGAAGGAAAGGTTTGAAAGTCTATCACGGCTGCGTTCTCCAAAGCATGAGCACAAGAGGACCTTGAGTGGTGGCAGGAGAGGAGTCAACAACCTCAGGAGTGTGGGGGGGGGGGTGGGGACGGTTAAGCTTTGAAGCAACCTCGTGTCCTCCCCGGGTCCGTTTCTCTCCCACAATGAAATTCAACCTCCTGAAAGCGGACTGTTCTAAAACCGAACGAGAGAATGCCTGGGGAAAAAAAATGTCAACGTGGCTGCTCTTCTATTCTTTTGATCAGAGGTTTCCTGCGAAAGCTAGAAAAGGCGTCAAAACCTCACAGATGCTCCTGGAACCTCCCTGGTAGGATCCTTCCCGTCCCCCCAGAGGGACGATGCAGACTTGACCGGCGTTCACGCCCCGGGGAGGGGGAGAGAATCAAGAGTCATGATCCACGGAGGGCTGGACGGGACCCGAGCTACAACCTTCCTCCTCCAGGCCCTCGTGTATAAACGGGCAGAAGCAGGCCTGGCACGGAGACGCGACGTGCCCGAGGCCCCAATCTGACAAGCTGTGATTTCTAAATCTAGGATGCCGTGACGACCAGGGAAGGAAACAAAGGGGCCTCTAACTGAACAAGCAGACACCCCTCTGGCTTCCATGGTATTTGCAAAAGGTGCGTCTCAGAGCCCGTGAGCCACGGTTCTGCAGATTTCGCCGCGGCTTCTCACGTCGACGGGCCATGGTGTGTCGAGCGACCCTCGAACAGTGCACGACCCGTGTTCTGAGTCACCCCAGGACGGAGCCCCTCAACTCTGGTCCTACTGACAGGTGGGCCTTATAGCCCTTTGGGGGGTGGCTGTGCTGGGCAATGCAGAGGTCTAGCAGCATCCCTAGCCTCTGTGCACTGAATGGCCACCCCAAAAATTGTCTCCAGATGTTGCCAAATGCCCACCGGTAGGCAAAATCACCCCCAGAGTTCAGAACCACCCTGCTGGGGGCAGAGCAGCTTGAAAAGTCCGTGCAGGTGTTGTAGACAGACAAAAGAACAGAAGCACAGAATCAAACAGGGTCTTCACTCGAGACCCCGAGCCTTCGGAATGCCGATGCACCTGCTGAGTCGCCAAAGGGCAATAGGGTAGGCAGAATTTCCACCTGCATTCGCCCACAAATGCAGAGAAGTCGACAGACCTCGCATCCTGGGGCCTTGGGAACACGTGTCTCTGGTCCCCGGCGGGTGGGGGCAGAGGAGGGCGAGTCGGTGTCCACGCGCTCTGTCTAAACACGTTGGCAGTTCTCGTCATTGGGACTGACCCTCTCCCTCCTGTCTCCCCCTCCCTTCTCAGCTCCAGAGTCCCAGCACCCAGCTCTGCGCTCGGGGTTGTGCTGATCAGGGGAAGGCAGGAACCTGTCACCTGAGCAGGGCCCTGAGCCAGCTCCTGCCAGCCCCTCTCCTGGGAGACGGCCCCCGAACCGCACAGAGGGGACAGAAGGATGCTAGGGACCGTGCAAGGGAGAACAGGCCCCAGTGAGGTGGGCCCACAGACTCAAAAGGCAAGTCCCCCAACCCGCCCCATCAGCATGCATTGCAGGCCACAGTGGCCGCAGATCAACTGCTCTGGCCAGAAAAGACAGCTGGGTCTCCTTTCTAGCGTCTTGGCTGGCCAGGATCAGGGGCCACACCTCACTTTCTGCACGCTGGCATTTCTACTGTTACAAAGAACAAGAACAAAACCACGAGAACGACAACGGAGAAGGCGGCGTGCCCGAGAAGCCTGTCGTCTACAACAGGTCGCAAGGCTGAATGAGAGCCCGGTTCTGGAGACAGGCTCTCATCAGGGAGCCCTCAGCCCAGCCCTCGAAAAGCAGGAGTAAATGCCCCATCGCCCTCCTTCCCAAGAGGGCTCCTTTCCGGGGCTCCCGGGCGGCCCAGTCGGTCAAGTGTCCGACTCTTCGAGTTTGGCTCAGGTCACGGTCTCACGGTTCGTGGGTTCGAGCCCCACATCGGGTTCTGTCCTGACAGTGCAGAGCCTGCTTGGGATTCTCTCTGCCCCTCCCCTCCTCCCGCTGTCTGTCTCTCTCAAAATAAATACATAAACCTAAACAGAAAGGGTTCCTTTCTGTTTGAATCCTTTTTTTTTTTTTTTTTTTTTTTTTTTTTTTTTTTTTTTAATGTAGGTAAAAGATGTACATAAAAACATTTCAAAAGCCCGGGAACATCCCACGCCTCGGCTGACTGTCCAGAGCTTCCTGTGCAGTCCATCTTCATTTCCCTAAATAACGTACTTTGATCGTGTTCTGACTTCTCAGTGCACCAGCAGTGAGCAAGTCCAAAGACTCTCCACTATGAAAGGCAGGCTGTGTTCAGCCCACTCTCTGCACCCAAGACCCTTCCTCTGCTCCAAGGTTTAAGGGTCTCCTTTCTACTTACTACGCCTGTCTGCACACACGCATTCATTCATTCACGCAGCCACTCATTCATTCCTTATTTCAGCTCTTCCGCGGGTCACCTGTGATGTGTTAGGGAAGCTACTCAGACCTCTGATCTGGGGCCACCGTGAAGACAGTGCAGGCCCTCACTACCCTGCACATAAGCTGCTGTTCCTCCCCAGCTGGGTGCCCCCTCCCCACCCTTCCCCTCCATCCAGCTACACCCCATGTTTTTTCAAAGCTGCCAACTTGAAATTCCAGGCTGCCACCACAACCACACCTTCTGGACTTTGGCCTCCGGGTTGATGCTTAAGGTTGGAAAACCATCGAATGAGGTTCACACCCCCTGTGGCTGTGGAGACATTCGTTGCAGCCGGGCCGTGTCTGGGGACTGAGGATCCCACAGAAAAAAGGGGAGACGAGGTCCCCACCCTCGGGGAGTGTCCTGCCGGGATCGCCAGGGAGAGCCCATCCTCCTAGCCCTCCAGACCGCTCCCTGGGATCGGCCAGTAAGATCCCCCGCCAGGCTGCAGACCCCAGAACCCACAGTCTTGGCCTTTCCGATGAAGGCGGGTGTGTGGCCCCTCCCGGCTGCCCCAAAGTAGTGGGTGGACTGTACCTGTCGGAGGCAGAGAGCTCCTGTGAGGGCCAGGGCTGGCTGGAATCCCAGAAGAACTGCTGGGGCGTTCCCAGGTGGTCTCTGGTCAAAGAAAGAAACACGGTCACTTTGAGATTGTCATAGGGCAGAACCCCAGAGGGTCGCAGAGCAGAGCTAGATGGCAGAGCTGGAAAAAATAGGGACCTGGCCGGGCCACCGTCCTGCCCAAGCCCGGGAGGCGGGAGCTGGCTTTCTGCTCCCACGTCATCCCCTCCCCACCTGCCACAACGACCGAGCCTCTCTGCTGGGGACCCTTCTCCACGCAGCTGCGAACAGGAGGCAGCCTTCCGTCTGGGAGCCTTGGAACCGTCCCTCGCTGGCCCCCTACCCAGCCCCCACTGATCCCCCAAGGCTGCCGACCCATGTACCTCCATTTCAGTCTCGTGCCCTGGAACCCAGACGCTAACTGGGTGTTTCTCCCAAGTGCCCACTGTCACCTGAAACCCCAAAGCCAGAGGAAGGAGCCCTGGCCTGGGGTCTGTACAGAGACACGGGTCCCCTGTCAAGTGAGGCTGATTTCCCAAGTCCTTCCCGGCTCTCCAGACCAACGTCTCGTCTGAATGCCAACCACTACATCGGCCTGGCCCCTGCCCCCTGCCCCCTGCCCCTTCTCCGGATGCCCAGCCAGGAACAGAGCTAACACTGCAGCCGTGTGATGGCCCCCTGAACTCGACATGAGCCACATTGCCACTGTAAGCAGAGACTTCTCCTAAAGTTACCTAGTGACAAAAAGAATGCCTTCTCACTCTGTATAATATGATGACGTAGAAAAACACAAAGAAAAGAGTAGACACCCATAATCCCACAGCTCTAAGTCAACATTTTGGTATCTCTGGAGATTTATTTTCTTTCTTTCTTTTTTTTTTTTAAGTTTATTTATTTTTCAGACAGAGAGAGACAGAGCATGAACAGGGGAGGGTCAGAGAGAGAGGGAGACACAGAATCGGAAGCAGGCTCCAGGCTCTGAGCCGTCAGCCCAGAGCCCGACGCGGGGCTCGAACTCACGGACCGCGAGATCGTGACCTGAGCCGAAGTCGGACGCTTAACCGACTGAGCCACCCAGGCGCCCCTGGAGATTTATTTTCAAGCCATATACACATCTTTAAAAAGAAACAAGGGGCACCAGGGTGGCTCAGTTGGTTTAGTGTCCAACTTCAGCTCAGGTTATGACCTCATGGTTTGTGAGTTCGAGCCCTGCATCTGGCTCTGTGCTGACCGCTCGGAGCCTGGAGCCTGCTTCGGATTCCGTGTCCCCCTCCCTCTCTGCCCCTCCCCTGCAAGCGCTCTGTCTCTCTCTCAAAAATAAACCAACATTAAAAAACTATTAAAGAATAAAAAATAAAAAATGAAACAAACATCATACTGTACTTTCTTGCCACGTATTGACTTTTGGATCTTTCCCGACGTATTAAAGCAGCTGGGAAGTACAGTGGTTAGCATCTATGAACAGTGGTGGTTCTGGGGCCAGATGGCCTGGCTTTGAATCCCGGCTCTCCCTCTTCCCACCACCAGTGGAAGCTTGGCCAAGCTAACGGTCTTCCAAGAGTCTCCTCTGCAAAATGAGATCAAAATGGGATCCACCCGAGGCAATCATTGTATTCGTGCCAAATGCCCACGTAGAGTTATTTTTAGCCAGTGGAATATACGGACATGACATTATTTAATGAAAATTTCTATTACTAAGAACTCAATGGTCTCCAATGCCAAAAACAAAATTAAGCACAGCTTTCCATTGCCTTCTCTCAATTAGGATTCGAGAGAACTGGGTTTCTGCCTGGGCTCTGCTGCTTATCTGCTGTCCAGCCCTGGCCAAGTCACTCTGCCTCTCTGGTCCTCGGCTTCTCCACCCAAAATGAAAGGGTTGAGCTAACTGGTCTTTCAGGCCCCCAAACTCCCGACTCCAGTTCCAAATCAGGGGTCTTAAAACTTTAAACCCATTGTTTGGGTTTAAGGAGTTTATGGCTCCAGGAGTCAGTCGGGTGGGAATGTGGTCCCTTCATGTCTTAAGGGAGAGAATACAGAGGGGAGGTTGAGGGAGAGGAGGAGCAGGGAAACAGCCACCAGGAACAAGGAGGGACGGGCAGACCAGGCTCAGCGTTTTCCCGGTGGGAGGAGGGGTGGGTGGGCTCAGCCCAGAGCCCGTCTCTGGCTGCAGGTCACCAACAGGGACAATCCTTTGCTGGCTCCTCTCCCACAGGACACACAGAATAACGTCCAAACCCTGTAGCCCCCTGCAAAAGGGCGCCCCTGTCTGTCTGTCCAGATTGAATTCTCACTTCACCCCAGCCCATTTGCTGGTCTCCCAACATGCCTTTTTGCTATCACGGTTCCCTCCCTCCGGATGCCAGAACCTCATGCACTAGTCAAGTCTCAACGAAAATGCCGCTTCCACCAGGCAGCCTTCCCAGACTGCGTTTCCGCTCTGGTGTCAAATGCCCAAACTCTCTAGAGCAAATGCTGCCCAGCTGCAGAGGCTCACAGTGGAGTCCCTCTTGGGGCACAAGGCTGTATCTGGGATCGGGGGCAGGGGGTGTTGCCCACACAATGGCTGGCCCATGTTGGGGGGGTAAAAAGCCCACCAATTCCCTTGCCTCGAGGCAGACAATTCCGGCCCTTCCTGTGACTTTACTACATTACTGCTTCCTTCCCTTCCCCAGGGGGTTCCTCCCAAGAGTATACCCCTGCCCCCGAGCCTCCTGCACTTAAGTCTATCTCAGGTTCATCGGAGAACCAGGCCTGAGAGTCCCCAACAGCCACGTACCCCCGCCCCCCCACATACCTTCCATGTAGCTCCTCTGAGGGAATCAGCACTCTGTCCCACCTCTCAGACAGCGCAGACCTTGACCCCTGTCTTACCTCCCTGAGAGCCGGGTCCATGTGCCCGGACAGATGGGCAAATGGAAGGACGGACACCGCAACGGCACAATGTAGGTTCCCATGTGATACGCCCTTCCAGTCTCTAGGGACAGACAAGCCCTGTTCTTCCTACATGTGGGAAAGGTCCCCAGGGAACTGCCCACTCTGCACCGTGGCCTTTACCCCTTTGGTGGCTAATGCCACGGGCCTGATTTCAGAGAAGGCCCTGCAGCCACATCGGGGCTCGTGAAAGTCGGCTGGGAGCAGGGCGGCAAGGTCACTGGGCCGCCTCTATAAGATCACCAGGCCGCCTCCACGTGGGGCCTATGACGGAGGGCCAGCTCCTCTTAAAGCTGAAGCTGGTCACGCTCAAGATGAAACTCGGATTCTAGCTGGACGAGAGCTGAGCACACACGCACGGAGAAAAGAACACAGTGGCAAATGACTCCTGGCGGCAAACGGAGGAACCCCAGAGGGCGGCAGGGGGGAGGCGACTCGTGGCACGGGAATGGTGGCGGGGGGGGGGGGGGGGGTCGGGCCAGACTCGGAGCAACCTTCCCACTGAGGCCACTGAATCTGCGGGATTCGGGACCCCTCGAGGATTGAAACTTACTGAAAAGTAAATACATAAAAGTGCGACCTGGTGGCCTTGGGGGGAGGGAGGAAAGAGAGGGAAAGAGAGAGGACACGGCAACAGACACGAGGACTTGACTCGCCCCTCCGTCCTCTTACATTCATCCACCTGTGTGCTGGGACCTGAGAGACACCACCAAGCTCGGGCGAGACAAAGCAGCCTGACTTGAAGGCACTTTTAGCAGAGAAGCCTCGGTTTCTTGTCCCTCCTCCCCCCAGCCTGGGGCTCTCCAGGAAAGGGGGCGACAAGCGGCAGAGACCCTCGGGCAACAAGAGAAAATGCACCGAGAGCAAAGAGCAGGGTACAGCTGCCCCTGTGGGTCCCCTTCGCCTCCCCACTGGGAATCCTAAGGATGGAGCAGAGAAGCCAGCGTGGCATCACGTGCTTGGAGGGTCTGCAGGAGGCCCCGAGATCGCAGGCAGGTGCAGGCTTGCAGTCTGAGCCCCCTCGCCAGAAGGCTCGCTGGCTGGGTCACATACAGGCCCCCCAGAGGCTGGAGTCCCTCGTTCCCATGTGAACCACATCTGTCCGGCCAAACGCCATCAGGGCACCACAACTTCTAGAGGATGCTTTCTAAAGGATGCTCGCCTTGGCTGGCTCTGACTTAGCCCAAAACCCAAAGCCACTCACTGCAAGTCTGAGGCGGGTAGGTGGCCAGGCCGGGCCTGGCAGACGTCTGGAGAGAGCCACGGGGACCGTGGCTGAGTGACCTCACCAGCAGCAGGAAACATCACCCCAGATGACCATACCGCCCACAGGGAGGAAGCCATTTCTAGACCTTTTCCAATAAGATTCCTTAATCTATTTACAGCACACCGAGCTCGTCGACCAAGTCAAAGCAAAACTGAAGCGGGAGTTGGGGGCCCGAGTCACCCTGGATTAAGGCTCTTCTACATTCTCTGGGGACCTATCCCTGGGGCTTTAGGTGGTTCCAGAAACAGCCAGACTCCTCCTGCTACCAGAATCGTCACCACGCAGCCCCCAGAGGCTCTAGGGAACATGGGGAGATCAGCCTGGAGAAGTGAGACGTGGTCTTGGAGAGACTGTCCGTCCAACGCAATTCACGAGAAACACGGTTTTCCTAACGGCGGCCCTCACTCAATTCGGACCTCCTCCACGAAAGCCAGGAAAAGCCACACACACAGATCGACTGACTGTGGATCAAACCGGCCCAGGGAAGTCGCTCTCTAAGCCATCAATGCTACGAGCTAGAGGTTTTAATTTCCCCGTCAGTGGATGACAGTTGCTGCCGTGTAGAGTAAAACTTTCAGAGAAAAGTCTAGTTCAAAGGAGGACAGACACGTAAATCTGGGTTTCAAAGCACAGATGGCCCCTCCTTACGAGAATAACCCTAACGCTAATAATAAAACAGGAAGCGAGGCACGACTTAGTGACTTTAAACAGTCACCTCTGGACTTCATTGCCCTTGTTAAGACTGCATCCTGCTTGCATTAGAAATACCGGCTTCCAAGGGGCGCCTGGGTGGCGCAGTCGGTTAAGCGTCCGACTTCAGCCAGGTCACGATCTCGCGGTCTGTGAGTTCGAGCCCCGC